CTACCCTCTTCATTGTGTCCTCTTCCCTACATTTAGCTGTGGAGAGTTTGTTCTGCCAGTCTTCAGGTTGTTTTCGGGGTTATTTACACTGATGTATGTGTTACCTAGTTGTATCCATGGGAGGAGGTGAGCTTCAGGTCCTCCTACACCACCATCTTCCCTGGTAGTCCTAGATAAGCTCTCTCAAATCAGTTTGGAATAATTTCATTATCATCAAGATTTTGGTATATATCCTTGATTCCATGAGTTTGCATTTTATTCCTCCTTCCATGCCTTTGAACGGTTTTGTTGCAATGCAGTCAGCTGAATGCTCTTTGTAACTCTGTAATTGCTCACTAACCTGTATTTTCTAGAGACTCCTTAGGATAGTCCTTCTCATGAATTTAAAGCTGAAAATTTAATTGAGCAAGCTTGTCCTATTAGCAATGAATGGTCTAGGAATATTGTTTAGGAAAAATCAATTATTATTTTACTTGGCAGAGAATTAAAATATCCAACTGGGAGTTTACTAAAGAAATTGCAGCTGACCCTTGAATATGGACTTACTGACAAGTTCTGCTAAATTACATGCTATTAAGTGGAGGTTATTATGAATGCCTTATCCCCCAGCCTAACAGCTGCCTTCCCTTGGTAATGGGTGTATTGTAATACCTAATTCCTTTAGTTAGCCCTAGTGGAATATCAGACATGGAATGATACTTTTGGGTTCTTTTTTAGTATTAATTGTTATTGTAAATATCATTAACATACTTATTAAGTCTACCAACTATGGTATAAAGTAAGAAGAAAATTGAGTAGCCACCCATTTGTACTGAGCCAGTGAGAGTCTATTTCAGTGGGGAGCTTGGAGAGATTTGCATGTCTTGTCTGTGTAAAGGGTGAACATTGTTTCACAACCTTCTTTGTCTCATGCTTTAAAAATCTGGAGGCTTAGTTAGGTCCAGTCTTCCGTTTTCTGCCCTTAGTTCAGTTTTATTATATATTTTGTGATTCTTTTTTTCTTTTTTCATTTTTTTGAGTGTAGTTGACACACAGTGTTACATTTGTTTCTTTTTTTCAACATAGTGAATTGACAAGTTTATACTTTATGCGGTGCTCACCACAAGTGTAGCTCTTCTTTTTTTTTTTTTAAGATTTTATTTATTTATTTGAGACAGAGAGAATGAGAGAGAGATTTTTTTTTTTAGAGCGCACATGAGAGGGGGGAGGGTCAGAGGGAGAAGCAGACTCCCCGCTGAGCAGGGAGCCCGATGCGGGACTCGATCCGGGGACTCCAGGATCATGACCTAAGCCTAAGGCAGTTGCTTAACAAACTGAGCCACCCAGGCGCCCCAAGTGTAGCTCTTCTTGATGGAGAATGAGAAGAGTTAGTTGTCAGCCTTTGTAAAAGATGCAGTCTGGGGTCCCCAGGACATTGTCTGGCTGAAATTCCACTTGACCTGGCCTGGATTTTTACCTGAAGAATGACAATTTTCACACAAATGAGTCATGATCTAAAACATTAGCTCACTCTTTTTGCTCATTTAATATAATAAATGCCATTGAAAAGATGGTTGAGCTCTAGTCAGTGACCTACTTTTTCTCGCCAGTAGGTGTCACAAGCAAATGCTCTTATGTTACTGCTCGCTGAGAGCGGTTTGGAAACTCCCACAAAGGTGCCGTAAAGCAGTGAAAATGCCACGCTGTGTCACTTCCTGGGGCTTATTGGAAGGTCTCTTTGACTGTCTGCACTTGGCACAGCAGAGTGGACTCTGTCCTCTGAACTTCCTCGTCCACCACTGCACCTGGCCCACAAACCATGGGCTCTGTTTCGCCTTTAAATCCACTCTGCCTTTGTCAATGCAGTTCCCTCTCCTGGATGCCATTCTTTGTGGCCATGTTCTTACCTAAATCCCTTACACGAAAATGTACCCTCCCATTGCCGTATTCCAGAGCCAGAGCTCCTATGTAGATGGTGTGTCCGTGAATGAAGCAGCCTGAGGTCACACCCTTTGCTAGCATTGTGCTAGATGCTGGGCACACAAGTGGGAATGAGACGTGGCCCTTGTCCTCAGGGAGCTTAGGGTTTACTAGGTGGAGAGACTGATAAGACTCTCTCCCTCCTAAGTACCTCACCCCGGTGGCTTCCTTGCCCCTCTCCACCCACACAGTAACTGCCTGAAGTGTTTTTACATCTTTAATTTTATTTTTTGCTGTGAAAGAGACCACTTCAATTTCTTTCTTATATGCCCTGTATAATATTGAAAGCCTAATTCAGGTACTGAGAAACACCTCCATTTGCCTTGGAGCTTCTTCTCCAGAGTATTACACATCTTAAGAGCAGAACATACCAGATATTATTCCTTCCTCTCCTTTGCTGCCCCTTTACTCTCTCTCCAGATGTTAAAACAGGAGGGGCTCTTAAGGCTCCGGCCCCTCCTTTTCTCTCTCCCTAAGCTGTCATCCCAAGACCTGGGATGTGCCGCAGACACTCAAATTTCTATCTGAGGGCTCTTTTCTTCGAGCTTCACGAGGGTGTGTGTACCGCCTACATGGGTGGCATCCTCTGGGGTGTCTCAGACATACAGCGTCCACCTGTAACTGTCTTTTCCCCAGCAGGGCTCCCTGTCTCAGGTGTCGCCAGTCCAGCTGCATGAGCTGGAAGCCTCGGGGTCTCCTGCAGCAGCACATCTTCTTGGTTGTTGGGGTCCCTGGACTCTAGGTCGGTCTGAGAGGACTGTCAGTCTCTCCTGTCATGTCCCCAGTTCAAACCCTGATCTTGCTTATCCCAACTGCTGCGTCGTCTCCTCTGCCCATCAGCTGTGCTCCTTTCCGGCCCGTGTTCCACAGTGTGGCCAGAGCCGTCGGTGCTGCTGTCCTGTGTCTCCAGCGATGGGCACCGTGCCTGGCACATAGTTACTGCTCTGTTACACAGGGACCCATGGCTTAAGTCCGAGGGCTTCACACCGCCTCTCGTGTATCTGTTCTCATCTTGTGGGCTCTGTGTTGTATAATTCTTAGTCTGCTTCTGGCATTATCCTGTGCTTCTATTGACGGATTCATGTCATTTAACAAACTTCTCCCAATCAACCAGTTAGTTGCCCTGTTTCTCAAGAATTTCCCAAAGTGCAGTTTCCTCCCCAGAGCCCTAATGATGTAACAGGTGTGGACTTTCCCACCCATCTCGTTTATGAGTATTGATATTTAACTGATAATTATCTTTATTTGTGTTAACATTTTTTCCCACACATGCCTTTTTAAGATTTTTTTTTTCTTTAATTTTAGAAAGAGAGTGAGTGGGTGAGCAAGTGCAAGAGAGGAGAGGGGAAGACAAGGAGGGAGAGGAACAAACAGACTCCATGCTGAGCATGGAGCCTGACTGGGGCTCGATCCCATGACCTTAAGATCACAACCTGAACCGAAACCAAGAATCAGACACTCAACAGACTGAGCCAACCAGACATGCCCCCGCCCCCACCACCACATGCCTTTTTAAAAATTACATGATATTTAAGACTTTATGGGCATTACAAACTATGAAAAATTTAACACTATATAGATTTCATCTGTTTTAGGAAGCAGGTTCTTAAAAGTTTATATATGATCTGTTTGGTTTGTTTCTTTCTGATACAGTAGTTCCACTTGTAAATGTGTTTGATAAACTATAGAAACAATAATTCCATGGTTCAGAGAAGTGTAAAACATGCTGATAAACAGAAGGAAAACTTTAAAAGGAATTCTTACCTTGTGACCCAAAGTAAGCAAAGCACTTCGTGGGTATTTCTGAAATCTGTCTTCAAGCTACATTATGCCAATTTATAAATCTTACGTTATTTGGTTTCATTTTCCAACTTCAGCTGAAATTATTTCATTTAAAAATCAAATCAAAACCACAGTGAGATACCTACTTCACATTCATTAGGATGACTATTATTTAAAAAAAAAAAGACAGAAAACAAAATAACTGGTGTTGGCGAGGATATGAAAAAAATTGAAACCCCTGTGCTTTGCTGGTGGGAATGTTAAGTGGAAAAATAGTATGGTGGTCCCTTAAAAAATTAAATATAGAATTATCATGTGATCCGGCAGTTCTCCTTCTGGGTCCATATCCAAAAGAATCAAAAGTGGAGACTCAGGTATTTGTACACCAGCGTTCACAGCAGCAACATTATTCACAATAACCAAAAGGAGGAAACAACTCAAATGTCCATCGATGGAAAAATGGATAAACACAATGTGGTATGCAGTGGATTATTATTCAGCCTTAAAAAGGGAAGAAATTTTAACATATGCTACATACTTGGATGAACCTTGAGGACATGCTAAGTAAGAAAAAAAAAGCGAGAATAAAAATGACAAACATTGAATGATTCCTAGAGTAGTCAAACTCACGGAGACAAAGTAGAGTGGTTGTTGCCAAAGCCTGGGGGGAAGGGGAACAGAAGAGTTGGTTAGAAGGAACAGAGTTTAGTTCAGGATGATGAGAAAGCTCTAGGGACAGAGATGGGTGGTGGTTTTACAACAGTGTGAATGTACTAACTGCTACGGAACTGTGCACTTAAAAATGGTTAAATGGTAAATGTTATATATATTTTACTACAATAATAAAAAAATAGGTTTATTGATGCTGCATGTAAATTTATAATTGCCTCAAAATAAAAACTTTACGAGATAGAAAAGGTTTGTTCCTTTGACACCGTTTGTTGAAACTGTTTTATGTTGAATCCATATTGATACCATAGTTGTTAGATTGAGAAATTAACCTGTGCTACTTGGAATTTGTTCCTGCCTCAGAGTCTTTTACGATCCAACTACATCCACACTCTTCAGTTACGGAGGGTGTCCATTTCCCATCAGACTAGCTGAGCCCTTTGACTTTTTAAAAATAGGTATGATGAGAGGATAAATCCCTGTTTAAAGGCTGGTGAAATGGAGTCAAACAGTTTTAGAGTTTATGTATGCTAGCATGTAGGACAAAACAATTAAAGTCCTTTAACTCTGGCATTTTCATGTCTTCCCAGGTATACCTTGAAAGACTTTTAACATATGCAGAGATAGACATCTGTCCGGCCAACTGGAAGCGGATTGTTCTAGGGGCGATCCTGCTGGCCTCCAAGGTTTGGGATGACCAGGCTGTGTGGAATGTGGACTACTGCCAGATCCTGAAAGACATCACGGTGGAGGACATGTGAGTGTGTGTATTGGGGTGGGGGGTGGGGCACCATTTGGGAAGGAACCACGTCCCTCTGAATGGTCTGTATGGTAATGAAGGAATGAATTTGACTAAAGGTCTCTTGTGAGTGGGCACAACAAGGACATGGCTGGGGAATATTACACCTGTACTACTCTTCATTGAGGATCATGAAGAGGTACTGGTTACACTTTTTGATTTTGTGAAACTAGTTACTGAAACTGTATTTTGGGCAGACGTTCTTTTACCTTAATCAGAAAGGTGTAGATAATGCTGTCACCTCTGTGATGGCTTTTGTTCTGGCTCTTTACCTCACTGCAGACTCATAACAATGCCCCACACCAGTCTTTTGTGGGCAAGAGCCTCCTCAAAAAGCAGAAGAGCTAAAATACTATGTTTCTGTTTAGTTCCAGGGAGAATTTGCAAGTTCATTTGGTTAAAATCAGCATTCTGTCCTTGGGTGCTCTTATGTGTCTCATTAGGGCTGCATGTTCTCCCCTAGCTGGTCTCAGAGCCCCAGCTCAGTGGAAGTGCCATGAGCTTGGGGGGCGAGGGGTGTCCACCCCCATAGCTCTCAGGGCGGTCTTGGGATTTCTCAGATGGTTCAGTCCTTAGATTTAGGTGAGGATTGTGAACAGGAGACCTGCAGGCCTGTTGTCTGCGATCTCTGGGGTCTGGGAATACAGAAAATAGGTTTAGAGCCTCTTACAGGACAAAGGAGCTGTTTTGGAAAACAATCAGGATAAACTATTTACAGTTCCTTATGGTTTTTAGGTACTTCTGACACTATTCTTGGTAAAATTTTTCAATTATTGTTTGTTCGGCTTCCTTGAGGAAGATTTAGGCTGGAGGAGGTGCCCAGCTGTGTCTCAGTCCACCTCCATGTTCCTAGACCCAGTCATCCTGGGGGTGTGGGATCTTCACAGTACCTGTGCAGGCTGCTGCTGGGGGGTGTCATGTGGGCACATTAGTTCTGGGTTCCTCACCAGCCTAAGGCCCTCCTTGCCTCTGGTTACTGATCGGATGGCACCCCATTTTTGTGGTTCCCTGTGAAGCACACCTGTTTGTCTTCTTAGGTCTTCTGTTGCAGAGCCTATTTCTGCTGTAGACCTATAAAACTCCTTCCTGGGTCTATAATTCTTTATTATAAAAAGGAGGACAAGTGTAAATAAGTTTTTGATAGTAAGAAAAATTAAAGTCTTGATTATATTTCAAAGTGAAAACAACTACTAAAATAATTGTCATCAGGACCACAGAGGAGGATGCAAGGTGGTAAGAGGTACTGACTTGTTTCTTTTATTGGAGGTTACTCTATCAACTCCTTGATATCATTTGACACTTGAGTTGTGTGCTGTAGGAATGACATCACGGTTGTCCTTCCTTGTTTGTGTTGCTGATGTATGTATTTAGGCGACGAAAATTTTCCCTTTTTCCCCTTTTAGGTTCTTTGGTCTAATAATTAAATTGACATAAGACAAACAGGAGAAAAACAAATTTAATTTTGTACATATGGGAGCCCCATAAGACTATGAGACTCAGAGGCCCTCAGGCAAGTGAGGCTTATATGCCATCTGAGCTAAGGAATGGGATAGGGGCCTAGGGCTTCAAAGGGGAGGAGTGCAGTTCAGAGGGAGATAAAAGAGCAGATGCTTGGTGATCAGATGTTTGCCCCACCATCCAAGTTTTTCACTTCGGGACAGTGAGCCCCAGTAGGGGAGGGTGAGCAGCCTGCCTCTCTCTCCCAGAGCAGAAGAGTGGGAAGGGAGGGGCCCAAAGGAGAACCTACATACTTGATGTGTTCTCGGGCAAGTCAGTTTTAACAGTGAGAAATGAAAGTTACACATCTAGAAATACGTTCCCTAATGCTCTTGTGTTTTTAGGCGTACTTGGAGAAAGCTTTTGTGTATTGTAAGGGAATACATAAACCAGCATGAAGCCCAGTGCCCCGCTAACCGCTGCAACAGAGACCCAGTGTTATGGGCCGAATTGTGTTCTCTCAGAATTCCTGTGTTGGAGCCTAAGGCCCAGGGCCTCAGAATGTCTCTGTATTTGGAGATAAGGTCGTAAAGAGGTAATTAATTTAAAGTAGGTCATAAGGGTGGGCCCGAATCCAGTAGGACTGAGTCACACAACACAGCAGAGGGACAGCCATGTGAGGACACAGAGAGAAGGCAGCCATCTGCAGGCCAAGAGAGAGGCTTCTGAAGAAACCCAACGCTGCTGGCAGCCCCCATCTTGGACTTCCAGCCTCCAGAATTGTGAGAAAGTAAATGAATGCTGTTTACCCCCCCAGTCTGTGGTATTGTATTGTGGCAGCCCTGGTAGACCGATATAGATGTTGATCCTGGCAAGTGGGGTGCTGCTGTAACAGTTACCTGAAGCTGCGGAAGTGGCACTGCAACTGGGTAATGGGTAGAAGCTACAAGAGTTTTGAGGCACATGTTAGAAAAACCCTAGATTACCTTGAAGGGGATAGTTGGTAGAAACATGGTTGTGAAAGGTGATTCTGATGAGGACTCAGAAAGCAGAGAGCTTTAGAGGAAACTTTTCTCATCTTAGAGATAGACATGTAGTACCACAAACAGAATGTTGCTAGAATTAGGACTGTTAAAGGTGCTTCTGGAGTGCGGTATCAGAAATGAGGAACATGCTGTTGGACACTGGACCAAGGGCAACACTTGTTACACAGTGGCAAAGAACTTGGCCAAATTGTGTTCTAGTGTTTGTGTAAGGTAGAATGTTCAAGAATGAACTGGAATATTTAGCTGAGGAGATTTCTAAGCAGAGTGTTTAGAAACCCTGCCTGGTTTCTCCGTGCTGCTTATAATAAAATCTGAGGAAAGAGAAATTAAAGAAGGAATTGTTAAGCAAGAAGGGACCAGATGTTGAAGATTTGGAAGAACTCAAATTTTCCAACCTCTGCCTATCCTTATTGCAAAAAATGAGAAAGCATGCTCTGCAGAGAACAATGAAGGTGTTGTGGCTGGACAGTGTTTGCCAAAGAGGTTACAAGTGTGGCTCGATGGTCCAGTCAGTCATCCCAGTGGAAATGTTGCCAGTTTAAACTGAAGGGGACAAGACAGGACAAAGTGAAGGAAGGCTGTGGGACTTCAGGATTCTACAAAAGAGCTGTCCTGCTGTGACTTGTTATCCTTCAAAAGGGGAAATGGCCGTGAAGGCAGTTTGGGAGTTGGCAGGGCTGCCTTTGCCCCCACGGGCACAGCAGGTATAGGTCTTGGGGGCTGAGGCTGCCTCCTCCTCGGCTAGGATGTGGGGCTGCTGCCCTTGGCTAAGGGGGCCCAGAGGCAGGGCTCCCCTCTCAGTGGGCTGGATGATAGAGCATCAGCCAAAGACTATTCTCAAGCCTTAAAATCGAACGCATTTGCCCTGCTAGATTTAGGACTTGCTTGAGGCCCAAGACCCCTTTCCACTTTTTGATTTCTCCCTTTTGTAATGGGAATGTCTGCCTATGCCTGTGTGACCATGGTACTTTGGAAGCAGATAACTTCCACAGTAGGAAGTTTCACGTGCTCATACCTGCAGAGGAATTCTGCCTCAGGATGAATCAGACCTCTGGTCTCACCCATACCTGATTTAGATGAGATTTTCGGACTTGGAGTTGATGCTGGAATGGGTTAAGACTTTTGGGTTGTTGGGATGGGGTGAATGTATTCTGTATGTGAGATCTCTTTCTCACACCATCACATGTCAGCTTTGAGCACCTAGTGACAGTTGCCGTGCATGGGAAAGGGAAGGATGAACTTTGACGGGCAAAAATGCTGTTAAAAGAAATTACACTGTGGGGTTGACTTGTTTTTGTTTTGCAATAACCTTAGAAGAGTTGTTCTCATATGTAAACAAAGGAATCTCAAATAAGGAGAAGCCAAGGGACTGGTTTTAGTGCTGCATAGCAGATAGAGACAGCAAAAACCTCCAACCCTCCATGGGTGTAGGGTGCCCGGTCTTTGGTTTTTGGTTTTCATTGTGGTAAAATATACATGGCATAAAATTGACTAGTTTAGCTATTTTTAAGTGTACAGTTTTGTGGCATTAAGTACATTCACATTATTGTGCAACCATCACCAACCAGAAACTGTCCCATTAAATAATACATCCCCACATCCCCCTTTCCTGGCCCCTGGCAGCCATCATTCTGCTTTGTTTCTGAATTTCACTTCTCTGGATGTCTCACAGAAGCAGAATCACAGTGTTCCTCTTTTTGTGACTGGCTTATTTCACTTAGCATAGTGTCCTCAGGGTTCATCTGTATAGCAGCACATAGTGGAATTTCCTTCCTTTTTAAGGTCGAAAGTATTGCAGTCCATGTGCATACTCTGTTTTGTTTATCCATTCATCCATTGCTAGACACCTGACACTTGCACTGCTTCTGCTCTTGGCTCCTGAGAATAGCACTGCTGGGAGCACGGGTGTACAGATCTCTCCCTGAGTCCCTGCTTTCAGTGCTTTTGCGTATATACCCAGACGTGGGATTGCTAGACTGTCAGTGGCTGGTTTTTAAAGTGAACCCGTTTTTCTAGAAAAGCAGATAGATGATAAATGTTTAGATGATAAAAACAGCTCTCCTTACTCCATTTTAGAGGCCCCTTCACAAGTTGTGAATTGTGCTAATTCAGTTGGGTTTCTCTACGATTTTGATCTAATATAACACATATTTCTGAATATGTGTTTTGTTTACTGACTTGAGTTACTTCTTACAAAATTTTAATCAGAACTGTTTTCTTATGATTATTCAGTTGAGGGCAGTAAATCCATCAAGCCTGTTCTCTCTGTGTCACTCTTAGTATTTCTTATGATTTATCACGTAGCAAGCTGTCACATGTCCCTGTAAGATGTCCTGCTGCAGTTTGGAAATTCAGATTTTGGGAATTACTTTTATTTGCTAAATCTTGCCTTAGTTAGAAATAAGCACAACAGCTCTAAAGTCCGTATTTCCCTCAGAGCTTAAAAAAGAAAAGCCTGAAGGCTGTTCCTTTTTTCCAAGGAACCTTGAGGAAAATGCCACCCTGTTCAAAAACAGATTCCTCTTGGCTTTAGTCAGAGTGTATCCCCTCAACAAGAGTCATTGCTAGCCAGCTACCACTGGGGCCAGGATTAACAGACTTGCTCTATTCCCCGCCCCCCGCCGAGGTTTTCTTAGCATCAGGAGAGTGAGAGCTGCAGTGGCGCCTTCGGCCACCAGACGGCAGTCTGTCCCCAGGCGGCCCCCACGGTCCCCCCAGGAGAGCTCCTTCCAGCCCATTTGTTTTGGCACTTCTGACCTTAGCAGTACTTTTACACTCTTGTTTTATTAAAATCTTAGCTGAGTTCCAGTATTTCACAGGATGATCTCTTGTTAAATCTCATTTAAAGGAGGCATAAATAAAAGTTAAAGTAAAAATTATCCCAAATAAGCCAAAGTAATTTAGACTCTTTAAAAAAGAACAAAATTTAGCACAACATGCACATTTGGAGCTCACCTTCTTTCACTAGACTGTATAGAAACAGCAAATTATGGTGTTTCTCTGATGAAAAGACCTGAATGTCACTTTTCAGTCTTCCCATCTGAGGACCACAAACCTTCTGTAGCAGCTCTCATTTGTCCAGTACCTTCCCTCTCTGAAGCCACCCACTCTTGCTCAAATTGCAGCCTTCCTTCCCCACCACCTTGGTGCTCCTGTCCCTTGTTGTCACAGCAGGAGATTGAGACAGAGTCCTTTCAGTCTCTGCTGGCTTACTGAGGTGGCTTACTGAGGTGACTCACCAGGAACAGACCAGGACTCAGGTACACCATGGGGACAGAATGGTGCTGAGTTAGTTTGAGGCTACAAAACATCAGGTACCTGCATCCAGAGGCCAGAGCTGGGGGGCTCAGTGTTCAGTGGAGTCCATGGAGGGGGGTCCGGGCTAGTTGGGGTGAGGCCTAGCACTTGGGGCAGGGTTTGTCAGCCTTCAGATTCACTTACAGGAGATGGTGACCAGGTGTCCTGCCAGAAATCCCCTGCCCCAACCCTTGTTCCTTTGCACCAGAGCTCTGTGTTTCCAAACTCAGTTCATCTCTTACTTCTATGGGAAGCCTTCCTCCATCCCTCCACCCAAGCTGAGCTTGGCCTGTTCCATTCAGTAAGGGTAATTATTGAGCACTAATTGTATGTCACGTGCTTTGATAGGGGCCGGGTGGCATGGTTTCTGGCTAGGAGGAGACAAGCAAGGACACTGAGTCAAGGTGACACCTGCAGTGGAGTCTGATAAAGGACAGAAATAGAGGGCTGTGTAACGTGCTTGGGAGCACAGGGTGCTTTCAGGGGCAGACGATGCTAAAACTGTGTCCCCGACCTAGCACCAGTGCTCAACAAACAGATCCATCGCTGAGGACTTTTCTCCCTCTAGGTAGTAACTGTCAAGAGATGAACCTGATCTAAAAGATAATTGACATGGAGAAGTTCTCCAAATAGAAGTTTTAAAATTTATTCTGGCTACCCATCATTCATTTTCATCAAACTATAGATGGGTTGACCAGATGGATCTTAATACCTGTGTTGCCTCCTTTACTGACCAGTCTGTGGAGGTGAGTGGTTCTAGAGGTTTGGGCTGGGACCAGCCACATCAGCATCCTGTGGGAGCTTGTTAGAAAGACACATTCTCAGGCCCAGCCCCTGACCCACTGAACCAGGACTGGGGTGGGCTCCGCAGTCTGTGTTAACGAGCCCTGCATGTGATTAGATGCAGGCTCAGGTGTGGGGACTACTGCTTTCACTCTTCAGAGTTGGCGGGGGTCCCTTTTTGTGAGTCCAGGGCTGCGATTCATTCACCTACTCCCTGCTTTGCCTAAGGAAGCCCCCACAGCAGTCCCTCCGCTCTTCACCTAGGAGGTAGGGAAGGGGAAGGCCCACTGAGGAAAGACAGGCCTCTAGGTATAACAGAGGCTTTTCCCCTGGGCTCTTGTGTTGGCCCCTCGCCAGACTCCACTTGACAGCTCTTGACTGCTTCATCTGCCCCAGGGTTGATGGTTCATGCTGGGATTTGCAGCCAGAGTTTGCTGTGTGTGTGGTTGGGTCTCAGTGAAACGCACCACCCTGAGGCACTTCCTGGTGATCGTCCCAACTAATCAGGCCTCATCCTTCTGGGCACTTGATCATTTGGCTTTTAGTACCCATTTGGTGGTTAAACTGCAACTCTGGTGTCCAATCACTCAATTAATTCGATAGCTTTTCTCCCTGGAGGTTGCAGTTTTCTGGAGTCTGGTCTCTAGCAGCTTGCCTTGGTGGGCCACGCAACCTGGTATGGCAGCTAAACATGTGCTCTTTTTGTCTTTGCTTTGCAGGAATGAGCTAGAGCGACAGTTTCTTGAATTGCTCCAGTTCAACATCAATGTTCCTTCCAGTGTTTATGCCAAGTATTATTTTGATCTTCGTTCTCTGGCAGAAGCAAACAACCTGAGCTTTCCCTTGGAGCCCCTGAGCAGGGAGAGGGCTCACAAACTTGAGGTAAGATGCTTTCACGTACTGGTTTTTGATGCACTATTGCAGATGCCTCATCCGGGTCTCCCGGAAGTGGGAGATCACCACGCTTATTTCTCCCACTGTGTGTTGTTATGAAATACAGACAGGTTACCCTGGATTTAGAGTTGGCCAGTTTATTTAGTTGATTGTAGTTCATCCAACCATAGTTTTAATAACCTTCTGAATATCTTTAATGTGCATTGATTCTATTCTTCAAATCTTATAAAGATCTGTTTTTTAAAAAATACGCTCACACGCTGTGAATTGTGCAAGACTGTTGAATCACAGATCTGTACCTCTGAAACAAATAATGCAATATATGTTAAGAAAAAAAAAAGAAGATAGCAGGAGGGGAAGAATGAAGGGGGGGAAATCGGAGGGGGAAAAAAAAAAAGAGAGACGATGGACTCTGAAAAACAAACTGAGGGTTCTAGAGGGGAGGAGGGTGGGGGGATGGGTTAGCCTGGTGATGGGTATTAAAGAGGGCACGCTCTGCGTGGAGCACTGGGTGTTATGCACAAACAATGAATCATGGAACACTACATTAAAAAAAAAATACGCTCACAAAAAGGTATTTCTCGACATGCACTTTTATAAGGAAAAAGATACCAGATGACCCTAATGATTGGGAATCCCAAAAGGTTATATTCTGCTTTTATTTTTTATTCAAAATATTTTCCCCACAGCCCAATTAGAGCTGGGGCCAGCCCCATGGGTCTTGGTCTGGATTTAGGGCCTTCACTGTTAAGCTGTGTAACTTTTGTGCTCATGACCTGTGTATATAGCTATTTGCACCTAGCTCTTCCCATCTGACTTGTTGAGTGGATGAAAAGTGGTGGGGTGACGAGGAAGGGTGAAACCCCTTCCTGCAGAGAAGGTGTGCTGAGACCCTCTGTACCTTCATCCTCAGGCACTGTTGTGGACCCTTTGATCAAAGCAGTCGATGGTACAGTCACGTCCCAGCTTGGTGAGACCCAGGAGGTCTGTGCTGCCTGCCCCATTGTCCAATCTGAGTGACACGTTATCCTGATTCAGTACAAGGTCAGGATAGCTAGAGTGCTGGTCTAACAGCGTTAATAGCTGTGAACCACACAAAATCTAGAGGTGGAGGGAAAGGGATTATTATGGTTTGCAAGCTTAAGAAAGCCGAAATTTTAAATAAAATTGTAAAAAGTACATAGTATGCTAATCCCAAGAAAAAACTGTAAAACTGTGGAACAGACTGGATACGGATATCAAAATAAAAACCCAGTGAGGTTTTCTGAACTCAGCCACTCTGCTGTAATTGTGTGCTCGCCATTGGGATACAACTGCTCATTTAAAGTCTCCCATTTCTCTGAAGGAGGTGCCCTAAGACAAGTGTTAGACTCTCGCAGGCACGTGCGTGAAATAGGATTCGATTTCACGGTCAGCAGGCTCCGGAAGCCCTCCTGCCCAGTGCTCCTCTCCTGCTGAGGGAGGAGCATGGAGCTCCTGGAAGTGGTCGCTTAGCCTGCAGGAAAGCGGGTCTGGGGTTCTCTGTGGGAGAGTATCTTGTGTTGCGGACACATAGGCTGGCTGAGACAGGGTGGCTGGTGCCCGCTGTGACCTCCGGCAGGTTATCTGAGTGGGAAGAGGGAGTGTGCGCCTGCCCCAGGGGCCGCCGCAACAAGTGCTGCATTAGGCTCACTGGGCCGAGGAAGGCCGGTAGTCCTAGCAAGACTGTTCTCTGTCCTCCCAAGAACCGGAGCTTCCTGAGACGCAGACCCCCACTCCTCTGCAGGTCTGGACAGAAGCACTATCTGGAAAAGCATGTGGCACCCCCCTTTGAAATAATTTTTAAGGAATGGGATTTCATTATTTTCCAGACCCCAGTATCCCTCCTAGTCCGTTTGGTTAGCAAACTTGAACCCAATTGTGGAAAGCAAGGGGGGTTGGTGAGACATACTAGAAGTGGCTGTTACCTGAGGCTCTGTACCTGCTCGCACGTACCACCAAAGGGCTGATTTGATAGGCAGGTTGCAAGGTAGAGTGTGGACGCTAGAGTGTACCAGGAACCAAGGCAAGTGCAAAGTGGTCTTTTCATTAGCCTGGTCATTTCTCTTTGAAATAAATTAGTATCTCTGTATGCATGTGGGAGATGGGGTGAAAGCTAAGAGTTTGCATTATGAAATCTAGAATAAGATCGTACTTGCTAATTCATTATTATAATATTACATTCAGACCTGTATACTGTTTATAAGCTGAGAAACCACACTCAGGGAGTTTAAATACATGAAAATAATTTACTTTCAAAACTCATTGCTCTAATGTCTGTAAGGGATCAGATTTTCTCTTGAAGTATGTCACCTATATTAAGTGTATGAAATGTGTTTCACACGGGGAACTCCCAGTGGTCTAGCCCATCCCCTGCCCTCGTTCATCTGTCGTTTGGAGGAAGACTTCCTCAGCTCCTGTCTCTCTCCTCTAATCCATCCTCCCTGCTACCACTGGAGTCGTCGTTCTAAAGTGCATTTGTGGGTTTTAGAAAATAAATGAGAATCGGTTGCCAGTACCCTGTGTTCTCAGTACTTGGAGATACGTGCATGCTCTGTTATGTGCACATCCTGACTGGAACTTACACATCCATTTGACACATATTCACTCAGGGTCCCCTGATACCAGGTGCTGGTTACCAGACACCAGGAGTTTACGTTCTGCTGGGAGGACACAGACAGTAAACAGTAAACTTAATAAATAAACTAGTATGTTAGAAGGTGAGTACAAAAGAAGCAGCAGGGTAGGGGTTGCCGTTGTCGGTAGCCTCACTGAGTCGGCCGTGGTGGTGCGAGGGCTCTAGTGTGGGCCCTCTTAGCCTTGCGGAAACCTCCAGGCTGAGGGAAGAGCTGCTTCAAAACCTACAGTGGGAGCCAGCTCAGGCTCAGGTGACGGGGGCAGAGGGGGAGGCCGCAGAGCAGCGTGGGTGAGATGAGGGGAAGTATGGGGGAGGAGATCACAGAGTTAGCTAAAGGGGCAGCAGGGAGAGCAGCTAGCAGGATTACCGTCACTTCAGTGAGAGCCATGATGATGTGATCAGGGTCTACTGTGCTTGTGCCTTTGTCCCTTGATGGTGACTTCTTGGCAGCTATTTTCCTAGCCCCTGCCTCATCCCTGGCCTTTTGCTTGAATGGTATATAAGTTAGAAGACCTCATGTTTGCATCATCGTGAGTGAAGTCAGCCCCACTCCTGGGTCATTTTGACAGAAGGCAAGGTGAATGTGAACGGGACAAGACATCTAGGGTGATGTGAGCTGGCTCCCACTTTGTCATCCATGTGCTCTCCACCTGCACCCAGTAGCAACCCTGAAAGAGCCATGACCAGGCTCCGAGCCCCAGGGAGGGCTGAGCCTTGCTCTTGGCTGAGACGTTCCCCCCAGAGTCTCACTGTCTTCATCAAGAAAACAAGGACAGTGTGGATTGTCCCTACATTGTCCCCTCCCGGTTCCTTTCTTCATCAGTCATCTAGAGTTGACTCAGACATGGGGTCATCTGCTCTGACTCAGTCTCAGATAACTGACTGCCTCCAAGTACTGTACTGAGCGCTCTTCCCAGCGCCGCCCGGCGCGAAGCCCTGATGCGTTATGACAGCCACGCAAGGCGGGGTGCTCTTTACCCCGTTTGCAGACGAGGATGCAGGACTTGAAATAGGCATAGGCCCGGGCCCCCCCCCCCCCCCCCCCACCGAGTGGTTCGCCAGCATTGACCCTGCATCTAGCTGCCCCCCCCCCCCCACTGTCCTATAATTGTTTCACATTTTGTGATGATTTTCTCAGTTAGACTGTAAGCGCTTTGGAGACAGGGCCTTTGTCTGTACCTCCTTCGTGGGGCCGCAGCATGGAAGCTGCCCGGGGCAGGAACTCTTGTCAGGATTGGCCCCGCGTGTCCTCAGTGCCTAGAACGATGCTGGCACCCAGCGGCGGGTGGTGTCTGATGAGTGAGGGAGTGGAGGGCGCCTAGAGGACGGTGGTGCTTGCTCCCGAGTCCGGCCCTGACCCGAATTGTCTCTCTTCTGCCCTTCAGGCCATCTCTCGCCTCTGCGAGGACAAGTACAAGGACCTGCGTCGACCCACGAGGAAGCGGTCAGCGAGTGCTGACAATCTGACTCTGCCGAGGTGGTCCCCCGCCATCATCTCCTAACCGTGGGGGTCCCCACTGGAGGCCGTGCCATCCCTCAGTTTCTCCTTTAGTGTGAGAAAAGACAGACTGGGGGTGGTTTTGTTTTTGTTTTCCTTTCCTTTTTTTTTTTAATTCATAGCTCTGTCAGGCTGCCTTGATGACCGCCTCCAAGCTGTGTGGCCCACTCGCACGCAGCAAGGCCTCGAGGGAAGCGAAGTCAGTATTCTGGAAATCCTGTTTCATGCCCTTCCCCATCGTCATTAACAGCACTTCCCTCATGGAGGAAAAAGACTCTAATCCTGGAGAAGGAAACAAAGGGAAGGGGAAGTCGTGTAGAGGCAGGGAAAAGGTTAAATGGCTTGACCATTTCTTAAGTCCCCGTCTGGTCAGTAGATGAATACGATGGAAAAACACAGAAGTAGGTAACAAAATTGGATGTGCGTTAAAGACAAGAGTGCGCGTTTATCCACCTCCGTCTGGATCAGTATGTTCTGTAAGACTTCTTGCATTCCTTCTAGCTGCTTTTTGGGATTTGGGGGATTTTTGTTTGTTTTTATTCTGTTTTAAAAGGTTTTGGTCCCACAGAGCAGAGAATATAGTTTGTATCCACCATGGCACAGACATCCAAATAAATAGTACTGGTTGTTTCTCTCTGCACTATTCCTGTGAGCTGTCTTCTGAGCTTTCTTCCTCACAAGTGGGATGCGCTTGTTATATTTCTGTACACCTTTATTTTATACAGTTTTTCTTCAACGGTGGCAAAATTAACTTGACTGTAGTGCTGAACCAAAAGTATCCCTTTCCCTCCTTATTTCCCACCCCAAGAAAATTCTAGATCACATGGGTGCTTGTGCCTTCCAGTTTATTTGCAGTTGTTTTTTTTATTTTTTTCTCTGACCTGAAGTCGTAGTTACAAATCAGTCAGATTTTGTGGGCTGAAGGAAAGAGTGTGCAGCAGAGGGTGTCCTCTGGGTGAAGTTTTTTCCAGAGTGCTAGGTGTCTGCCTGCAGTTACTGAGTAGGAGCCATTTCTCTGTACCCCCTGCCCAGTTCATTCCTCTACTTCCATGTCCACTGTTGCAAGCAATATTCTTCTCAACTTTTATATGTTTACTTTAAATCAAAGTTAGTCTATTTGTATAAAACTTTTTAAAAATCTAAAATTAAAAAAAAGGGGGGGTGGGTTATTCCTGTGGGAAGATCATTGAAGGGCAAAATGTTCAAAAAAAAGGGGGGGTTTTTCACAGGACGATTGAATAAAAAACTTGCATTTTCATTGTGGGTGCTTAGCGAAGTTATACAAAAATTCAAACTGTGAAGGTTTATGCTTCATTAATAATGACCATACTTTTTCATTTTCTGACCATCCCTAATTTCCTTATGGGCTAGATGAGAATCTTTTATATCAAGTAAAATAAAAGGGTTAATGATAGAATATCAGAGTAAATTTGATATTAAGTCTAAGAATCTGAGTCAATGAAGCATATAATGCTTTGGGTGCTTGCATATTTTCTTGGGTCACAATGATAGGCTTCTAAGTTTTTTCCCTTTTCAAATCTGTGTGAGGCGAATGGCAGCAGATACTCTGTGTTTCACCTTCTTCCTCTGTGAATGTGGAAACTTTGGAATATTAGTCTTGGGTACCCGAAAGTCATACGCCTGATCCTCAAACATGCCTGCTTCTGATGAAACATACTTTGGAAGTGGAAGAGACTCAGAAAGGTGAAATCCCAAGATCCCCAGACCAAAAGTGCTAGTCAGGTTTCGGTGAGATTTGTATCCTGTGTAAACAGCTGTTTGGACCAGAAATATTGTCAAGTTCTTTCTGGCCTAAACTTCCAAAAGCCAACAAGCAGAATCTGAAAAGTTAACTATCTTTCCATTGTAATGGTGTTGATATACTCTATGGGTACCAAAATCAGCTTCTCTCTTCAAGTAAGAGTTGGATTTAGAACTTTAAATAGAGATCTAAAAATGTAGAAAATATCATTTTATATTCCCTAATCTATATAGCTTAAAAAGGGACATATTTTCTTAGCTGAATATGAATACCTCTCAAGCATAAATTAGTTCCTCTCATGTAAAGTATCTTATTTTACCAATCCATTTCAGGAAAGACGTTCTGCTGCCTTTAAAGCAGAAAGCTTATTTTTATCCCTTTTATTTGAATGAGAGAGATTTGAAAACTGAATTATGTAAATATTTCAATGCATCTGCTATTATTTTGTGGAGTTTATTAAACTACTTTAAAAAATTGTATAGTCTATTTATTGTATGTATGTACATACAGTCTGATAACTTAAAATTTAAAGTGGATTCCGTAAAACCTGACTCAGTCTTGTTTAGACTATTGAATATTGTTTTAGCCTTGTGCACTGGACTCTACCTCTGTATAGGAAAATTTTCCATATTCATTAATAAGTATTGATCTGTATTAATTGGTTATGTTTCTTGCACTAAGGATTTTTAAAACTCTGCTGTTAAGTGTAGATTTTAGTTTTACTTTTGCAGTATGAATCACTTGACACATAGGTAGATACTTCAGCTTTATTTATTTTATTTTTCTACATGACAGTGAAGACTTAAATTTTGTTCTCTGGTTTGTTCTAAGTTTGCCAAAAAGAAACCCCAACAACACCCAGTACAGTACCTATTGGTAAATCATAGTCACTGTAATTTGTTTGCAAGGTGATTCAATGCCCTACAGTTAAAGCCAGATTGCAATTTAGGATGACATTGTCTTAGTGTAGTTTTTGAATGGACAGTTCTCAGCATTGATGGAGGATGAAGAAAACCACACATTTTGTTGACTTTAATTTTAGAGTAGACTTAAACAACAAATAAAGTCATTGGGAGAATAAGTATATATCCCAGTGAAATTTTTTGATTTGTTTTACTTCCCCCCCTCCCCCCACTGGGAAAAGGGAAAGAAGTCAGGTATTTAAAACCAAATTGGAGGGCAAAGTGGGAGATCCTACCAAGATCCGAGATGTACTCCTATGCCTTAATGCACTAGGCGAGGCCGGTGTCAGAGCCTTGTACCCATCACCTGGCTCCTCTCCTGGGCTGGCTCTCCCGAGTTCCTTCTCCTGGTCTTTGGCAGGGGCATCTCCATCTTGGGGTTTCCCTCGGTTCTGGGCATTTTGATCCTCAGCAGAACTGCAAAGCAGAATTTTGGGAGTGAGCAATTTTGATCCTTTCTGGCTGCTTTTGGTAACCTCTCACCTGGGGCCATATTTTACAGCTTTGAATTTTTTAAACAATAAAATATAATTCCTGGTTCATTGTAGGTACTTAATAAGTGTTAAATAAATAAATACATAGAACAAATAGTGCCTTCCTGCTGCATTTTTTGGAATGCTATATTGAGATAAAATTCAACAGGTTTTATGGATGCTGAGTGTGAACCACTTCTTTGTCAGAGCAATGGGAAAAGTCTTATTAGTCCTGTAAGTTTAGAGTAATTCACAAAAGTATTGAACATTTCTTAGAAACCTCTTATTGCGATGTTGCATGACAGAGACCTATCAGAGCATGTCACTTTTATATTGATACCCTATTTTATTTGAATAACTTTATCCCCTTTGACTTCATCGGAGTCAACATCTCAAGACTGTATTGGATGGATCTTAGAGACATGGATCATCTTTTGAAAGGCCATCCAGAGAGAGTCCGTACCCTTGTTGAAAAAGAGAAGAAATCAGAAACATGCCTTCAAGCTGAAATGGGACAAGGAGACTTGAGAAGATTTATTTTTTAAACTCTGTGGATTGCCAGGAAAACACTACACACAACTTCATTAAGACCATGATTTGCTGTTACTGAAGGCAGAGCCTTACTAGAACTATTGCATCTAAAAACAAATGCTACCCCCCCAACCCCTGCCTCAGTTCAAATTAGGGAGTTGTAGAAGTGTGCTTGCAGTCACAAAATGGGTGATGGATTGTGGACCTGACCAGTTCAGCTGACTTCCTTTCCAGTTTTGCTATTGGATTTTCTTATCAAGTTTGTATTTGTGGACCTGCTAAAGGAATACTGAGTCACTTTCCATTAGAAGCTTCAAGAGTTCAATGGTCAGCACTGGCATGGTCTGCTTTTATTCATCTCTCAATTGAAAGTCTTTGGAGGGCACCGTGTGTCTGCATCGTGCAGGTCTAAGTGGCAAGCACTCAGGTGAGGATTTGCCCTGGTCACTGTGCTGTCCATTGTAGTCTTTGTAGAAGGCTTTCTGGAAGAGCTTGTGACGGTACGAAATGAGCTCAGAAGGATCTGACTGAATGGTGTTCAGATTTTACAGGTCTTTATAAGCTTTCCTGTGTCTTTTAGTGGATTGACTTAGGTAGAGGTCTTTAAGAACTTTGTTTATATAAAGAAGTTATTTCAAATGCAGGGTAAAAGAGTGGCATTCCAGAATAATCCTGTGCCCTTCATTGATTAGACCTGGAAAAAGAACAGCTAGCAAATTCATGAGATAGGGTTCTTACTCTGCAGTGACTGGGAAGAACCCTCCCTCCCTGTGTCAGTCATTTTGACTGCAGAGGAGCTGCTCACAGGGTTAGTCAGAAGTACCAACCCACTATCTACCAGGCATTGTACACATGGGAATCCACGAGGACTAAAAGCTGGCCCCTGTCCACATGAAGCTGAATTGATTTGGTTTGAATCAAGTAACATAACAATACAGAAAATAGAGACACATTTCGTCCTGTCGTGAGCATGAAGCAGAATATCTAAACCCGTCTCTGGTCATAGACAAGTATATGAGGTGCTTCTGGAACATCATTTCTCCCTGCAGACATTCATGGAGTTCCACAATCATTTAGTGTTACATACCGGTATTTTGGGGGGGGACGGGGACCTTAAAGGTCATGTGATGGCTACCAAGAAAATGGAGAAAGAAACCGCTGGAAAAGAATCAGAATTTAGTAGGATGGCAGTTAGAAAATCACTGGTACAAAAGTGATAGTTTCCCTAGTCACCAGCAGTAACCAATTAGAGAACACAGTGGAGAAGAGGTGCCATTCGGAACGGGATCCAGTTATAACCCACCCGAGAACAGAAACATGACATGTTTACAATGCATCTAGCATACCTCAATTCATTTAATCCTCATCGAGGTTTCAGGGTAGCTGCTATTATTATTCCCAGATGAGGATGCGTAGGTTTGCAGAAGTTAAAACCTTGCTTTGGGCCCACGGTCTGAGAGTTGTAGAGCCAAAAACCTGACTCCAGAGCTTATTTTTAACCACCTTGCTATATGGCCCTTCACTGCCCTCGTTAGGGAAGAAACCTATTGAGAGATGTGCTCTAGTCTCCCCATCCCTGAAGTCGTGCCAATCCCAAACCTGCAAATGTGACCTTAATTGGGAAATGGGGCCTTTGCAGATGTAATTAGTTAAGATGAGGTCATACTGGATTAGGGTGAGCCATCAGTCCAATGACTAGTGTCCTTCTAAAGAGAAGGGAGATTTGGAGAAAGAGACCTAGGGACAATGTCATGTCACAACAGGGTGAGAGGACAGAGCAAAGCAGCCATAAGGTGAGGAATGGGAAGGCTGGCCGGCAGGCTGGAAGCAGCAAGGAAGGGGTCTTCAGAGAGCACGGCCCTGCTGATGCCTCACTTGAGACTTCTAGCTTCCAGAACTGTGAGAGCGTCCGCTTCTGCAGGAATCCACCCAG